TTTACATATATATTTTTATTTACACCACCCTCCGTCGTCCTGATATTTTGTGTTAATGAGTGTATGTCCATGTACCATCTGTATACGACAATAAAACAAAACAAAACAATACAACTTGAGCATCAAACTGTTACTATCACTTTTTCGAATAAAAAAAAAACCAAATCAAATTAACTTTAATACCAATATATTTAATAAGCAGAATAGAATTTAAATCACCCATGTATGTGAACTGCGTAGTATTATACACATTACATTCTATAAAGCTCATTTAGCTTGCAAAACACAGATCGAAAGACTGTCAAAATCCATTTGGAAGTTAATATTTTGTTTTTTGAACAATCTAGACAATCAAGTAGGGGAAATACTTGAATAATAATATAGGCCCCAAAATCGTTTTGGTTTAGTCTTACTTCTATTTTATTAGTATTAACTTTAAGTGTCCTTATTACTTCATATTGGCCTTTTTGCCCCTAAATACGAAACTATTGCTATTGTTTTAATACCGACTAAATTATAATGTGTGCTAGGTCTGTCTCTTTTGTGAGCACAATTAAAATTATATTGATTTACTACTTTCTTTTTTGCTACTCAATGAAGGTGGCTACCAACCTCAGGCTAAACCCCCTACTCTACAGTCGATGATTTCGCCGTGAGATGTTTAGTTATGAAATGATTAAAGGGTTGGACGTTTTTTTTTTTTTGGAATTTTTTTTGGAAGGAGCACTCAATCAATTCCGAATGCATTCTAATAATGTAAATTATATTGATGTTGGATAAATACATTTGACATAAGAGCTGGAGTTTTCTCAGAATATGGTTATGCATTATTACCATATATCATTACATAGATAATTGTAATGCCACTAATAATCTGAAAATCTGTGTTTTTTTGAGAATGTTACTCTCAGTTAACGTCGCATACGTCACTTGCCACGCAAATACTGTTTAAATCTTATGTGTTCCATGGTCGGGTACGAATAACATTAATGTAGGCTTAATTTTCGTCGGTGCATACAGGCCTTTTCCTACGTAGAACGCAGTATAAGTATATTATAGTATAAATGCAAAAAAATAAAATCAAAATTTTCTAAGGACGTCATTTACTTAATTTATCGACATCACCAATTTCACACCAAAGATATACCCCTATATTATAATAATGTTATATGTATAGATGTTTACAACACCTTTAAAACAAATATGTTCCATGGTTCCCTCGAATGTCAAACAACATGCCAGAAAGCAAATAAATAATTTAAAACACAAAACAGATCTGGCTAAAACTGGTTTGGTCTGACTTAAAAAAATTATTTTACCCGTTCCAATGCATAGCATTAACACTAAAATAAATCTTTCTCCAACATTGCATGTAACCATTTCTTTACCTTTATCTGAAATTTTGAAAGAGCTGTATTGTACAACATTGCTGTTGTGATCCATATTAACTTATTTCGGCTGATACTGATACTATACACTAATTAAAATCAGGCCTATTTTATTTCTAATAAGCGCGAAAATGACAGCTTTTAATCTAAGTTTCTATTATGTATCACATAGAACTAAAATAAATGTATTTAAAGGGACATTCCGCTTTTTGTAAAACATTTTCGGTATCAAAAACGTCGTAAATTATTCCTGAAAATATTTCTAAGTATGTTATGAAACTCTATGTATCTACTTGATCAATCTGAATTTTGTTTTAAAAGGGTTAATTAAAAACTGAGAGTAGTAATTGTTAATTTAGCAGTTTGAGCTAGTTTTGGTGTTTGGCTTTATAATGGCTCGATATGTTTAATTGAACATTTTAGAATACGCAGGGGACATATTTCTCTGCAATTTTCTTTACTTTAATCCGTACAGTACTTTTCGTACAGCTTCCAAAAGCATAATGAACCTTAAACGTTTATGTAAACTTAGTACACATTTTAAATAGTTTTGGTGTTTAAAATTTAACGGCTGGATTTTTTTAGTTAAAACTTTAAGATACGTTAATGAATGCATTAGATTTTAATGTATAGTTTTCACAAATAAGAAAAAATTCGATATACAAAAAAAGCGGATGTCCCTTTAAAATATCTCATTAATAATAGCTACTCTACACATATTTTCATTATTATAAACTTGTTAATAATACTCGAGAACAATTCTAAAATGTGCTATTTATCGTTATTGAATTTGTTTTAAAAGGGCTAATAAAAGCAGTTTGTGCTAATTGTTAAGCAAGCAGATAAAACTTTTTAGTTTTGGTGTTAAAACTCCTCGATATTTTAGTGGAAGCCTTCAAAATAGGAGACATATTTCTCTGATTGATGATTTTTCGGCCTGATTAACATACTTAGAGTTTATTGCCAAATAGTTTGAGATCGTTTCCTGATCGTTTTTCTGCTCGGTTCCAGGTCGTTTCACGTTTTCATTGGTCGTTTCCTGGTCGGTTCATGTTTTAGTAAGTACGTACCAGCCGGTAACGACGTATGAGGGACAGAGACTTAAAACACAAATAAATATAGAGACTGTCGTTAAAAGTGCTTGTTTCCTAAGTTTAAACATTTTATCTACACAAGATGCAAAGTGAGGTAAAATATCAGCATTGTTCATTAAAAAGTACATTTTATTTACATTATCATACAGGTTAAAAATTGTTCAATTTGGCAGGCTCTGGTAAATATTGATTGTCTTATATGGTTATAAAAATCACAATTAAAAACAAAATGTTCTTCATCCTCAACTTGTCTGTAGTGATACATAATCTATCACACACAGGCTCAGGTGGTTTAAAAAAAAACGTCCAGTTTCTATTCTGAGGGGTAGCGATCCAGCTCTTACTTTTGGCAAAACTCGTCTGTGGGACCTATTAATAATTACTTTAACATGTTTCTGTACCAAACACAATGTTTGCCCCGACTGACACCTGCAATACCGATACCGACTTTATTCTCACTAGAATACCCATTTTGGCACCCTGCATGGCGTTGCCCGTCTTCATTAGCCCACAAGGTGCAGAAGAGTAGGACGTAGAACTCCATTCATTTCATTTAGAATACCCATTTAATTCCAGATATATGACCATTATTGGCCTATTGCTTTTAATAATGTTCTGGGTTTTTTTGTAATAGATTTTATCTAATAATTACCAATAATCAAGGACTTTTTGTCACGTACGTGGTAAATAGCCACTGTCATACGTGCTGTCTTTCCTATAAACATTTTCAAACCATTTTGACTTCTCTTAGTATATGGACTGAACAAAGGCTTTTCTTTCACAAAAGTGCAAGCCAATGAATTGTCGCTAAATTGTCATGTGACTAACACGTGATGAGTTAATAATGTCAACATGGCAAGCATCAATATTATTGTTTGCGGAAAACTGCCGATATCTCCGAATTTTTCTAATATAAACCATCTCTAAGCTCAAATTTTGTGATCTTAATTAAAACCGTACGTGAACAGATGTGAATGGATCACGTTTTACGTTTACAAACGATTAATCACCATAAGAGACTGCGAAATACGAAAAAAATCACTGTATCAGTGAATGATTAAATGCTCATATCAAGGTTTATCCATGCAAAATATGGCTAGGGAGAATTCTTTCAAAAAAGCATTAGAAAAATATAATGTGTAATAACATCCATTGGTGTATAATAAAAAACAAACAATGATATGATACATTTAAATAATAAAATGGATGTTCTTTAAATAAATGAAGAAACAAATGTCAAGACATAACAGAATATACACATCATATTATCACAAGAAAACAAACAAAATAAAGTGGTATCAAAGAACATATTTTAATAATAAACCAGAAAAAGAAAATATATCATGTAATTAACATTATAATTTGAAAAAAGAAAGATCAATTAACATACAAAACACAACATTTTAACAATATTTTACACAATATTGATAATTCATATCCTAGACTGATTCCCCAATATCACTCCCTTCTATATCCGACCCCTCATCACTATTAAATATTTCTGTAGGGTACTGACAGTATTAACACATCCTGTGCATCCACATAAGTCTGCACAGGAAACATCTGATAATTTACACGAACATCTTTTCGTATCACATTTACCAGAGCAATTGCAATGAACATATTTCAATATAGTGTCTGGTGCTGGATCTAATGTCATCCCATCGATCGAAATTTGGTCATTTGCAATGCTCCAGCCAAGGTCCTTTGGTGATGGGCTCGATATATATTGCTGCAGTGAGCGTTTATGACCTGGAGTAGTTTCCTCACTAAAATCGATATTGTCCCAAACCAGCACGGCATTCAATTTCTCAGAAAAACACTGGCCCTTTATTCAATTGCATTTGGGCTAAAGATGTATCATACCGCACAATAGTCTTATGTGACGAACTGTGTCCAAATCCTTTCAGAAGGTCGATAACCTTTTTTGAACCAGTTATGTGACGCAACGTTAAACCGAGTGACAAGGATTTCACTGTATGCTTGCGACCTTTCGACCGAAGCACAACAATATCCTGAAGAATAGACAGCAGTTTAATATGGGTAACTTCATCAACCTTTCCAAATTAAAATCACAAGGCAAAGAAGGCCAACTACCTCATACCCTTTACATAAATACAATTCCGCTTTTAACTCTAAGGCTGCAGTGTACAGTGAATGTAGCGTATTGTCATCAAACTGTTTATGAACATGTGTTTCACTTGAGTCTGTGGTTTTGTCAGAGTATCACTATTATTAAGTAAACAATACCTTTAAACCAATAGTCAATAGATACTCTGGTATATCCTATGTTACTATAAATAGTTTATGACTCTTTCTAATAATACGTAATCAATGTATTCCTACTCAATCAAGTAGTTCGGTTCCAACATGGCTTATCAATAAAACTAACTAAACATTCTTCTTCATTATATGATTCCTGAACCCGTACCGAAGAGTACAACAGGTTTCACTTGAAAACTGTATCTTTTCAACATGTCTAACATCTTCCACGAATACTAGCTCACTTTTGTAGCGTTTAGCAGGTAAATGGAAGACCAATTGTGGATACTTTAACTGAAGCCTCTTCTTTAACTTTTGAGACCTAGAATAATAAAATATTTTGTATTATACAAGGGAGATAATTTACATATTTGTTACTTCAAGTGGTTTTCTGATGCAAAATTACAAAACAAATGACATTAATATGAATACTAATGATTCTAATGCAGCAAACAATGTGTACAACTAAATGTACAGAATTGTTTTCTTTCACGATCGATGCAAATATGGCAGACCAAGGACGAGCTGGCAGAAAGGATCCATGATGAACTGAAGTCGTCATCCCTGTAAAAATGGTTTTTTCTTCATATCATTTCAAATAGAACAAAAAAAAAGTCACCTGTATGAAGAGGCGTCAACACCATCTTGTTTTGCCATTTTTATGAATAAATCTAACAACCTAGACATCCTTAACCAGTAATGATTCTTGATTGTATCACATCAGCACAAAATCTATCAAACGTAGTTTTGTTAACAATCTAGATCCACCTGTGACCTACAAAAATAATGCAAAATCAGCTTGCCTTTGTATGTAAAGAAAATCGCAACTTACAAATCAACAGTGGTTGTATGCCACTGCACAAGGGCAAGATTGCTGGCATCAAACATATACGGTGTGACTTTCCAATGACTTGGGGCAGGTAAGTAAAGTAATCTATTGGTGAAAGATCAAGATATGCACAGAAATAGGGCATATTCAAACAAATTACATGGATCAAGGTTTATAGATGTTAAGAAAGTAGTCTGTAAAATTGGCATGTCAAAAAAAGAAAATCCGACTCACACTTCAGTGGCTTTACTGTATAAAAATTGGCATGATAATGTACTTCAATAGCAAAACAATCTTGGTCTCGAACATGCTTCAGTATTGACTCATCCTGCTTCTTTTCTACTGCTTCACGCAGAACTCCTAAAATATAAAAGA